GAACGTTGGTAGTGTTGACATTGCAGATAGGCCAAAGGAGAGTGTCAGGGATTCCAAGAAGCTATGTTAGTGGAAGAGGTGGGATTCCACACCTCTCTGTGGGTTACAATGAACTAAGTTAACTTCAGCACATGAAGACAATACATTTGAGAACCAGGAGGGAAAGAAATATGGTTGGTTCCACCTGAGGACCAGGCTGGCAAGCAAGATGGTTGGTTGGTTCCAACAAGAAGGAAGGCTGGTGAGTGGAGGGATGTGGGTCAGTGGGGTTTTTGTTTGTTTGTTTGTTTGTTTGTTTTTGCCTAGCAAGCTCAAGCTCCAGAGTTGCATCTTCAGCAACATGAAAAGGAAACCAAAAAGGTAGAGCAAGGACACGTGTTGTTGGAAGAAAGATCCAGCAGAGATACCACCACCCCTGCCCTACAGGACAGCTAGATGGAGCCCTAGTCAGTTCCTGTCACCAGCACTCTGCTGTGAAGAGGGGGACAGAGAGGCTATGACGTCCAAATCTGTGATCTGGTGACAGGGCTCAAGAGAGGGAGTAGGCCTGCCCAAAGGCTCCGTCCGCTGTGGGGACTGACTTGCATAGAGAACTGGCTCTGGACAAAAGTTGTCCTTGCTTAGATCAGCTGCTTAGAAAACTGTAAGAAAGGAACATCTGTAGATGCTCCAGTAATGTGTCAGGGAGATGAGATGCTACAAGCAGTAGATTCTCATCTCATGCCTGGTTGCGGTGCCCAGTCCAAAAGGTTAAATGAGTCCAACACTGATGTGAACACACCAAGGGCACAATAGAACATACAAAGTGACAGATTTGGAGGGTATGAAGGAAAAGAGAAGAGAAATGCATGTCTAGCTGTCAAAGGACGGTGGTGTCCATAGAGAAGGAAAAGAAAAGGAGAAAGGCGGGTCTAAAGAAAGAAGAAAAGGATAAGGAGAGGAGATATGAAAATTGGGGACAACAAGAACAAAACAAAGCCAAGACATACCCCGCCTCTCTTGGGGTGAATGGGGCGGGGCTTTGGTTTCTCCTATTTTGATTGGCTGTATTCCTTAAGCATTCACTGGGTACCCTTCCCAAGCCCAGCCCCATTGTAGAGATGTAAAGATGTGATCCTTTTCCTGGTGCCTCCAGACATTTCAGGTTTGCTGAGAAAGACTGCCAACTCTAAGCTCCATGATTCTGATTTTAATTCCTAGTGTCCAACATCTGCCTTCTAGAGCCTCACCCCTCAAGCAGGTCATCATTTATTGTGCCCTTGAGAGAGCAGCCATTATGAGTCTGTGTTGGGACACACCCACAGCTATCCTTGGAAGCATGCGTTGCACTCAGCTGTCCAGCCTCATCTCCCACTTCACATTAACCACTCACACCTTGAAACAGCTCTGTTTACCCTGAGATGTTCCCCATCTCCTGTGCCTAGGGCTCATTTCTGCCTCGCTTTGCCTTTCCATGTACACATTTCACCCCGTTCTGGGGGTGTTTACAAGGTGCTTCCACGCAACCCACCAAACACAACAGAGACATTACATCGTTGAATGTAAATTCGTAGCGGTCTTACTGAGAAGTGAAGGATCTGTTTATTGAGAAAATGCCTGTGGCTTTCTCAAAACCACACTGGATGAGGAGCCATAACAAGCTCATCTTCTTTTTGTGTCTTCATTCACCCACGTACTAAACAATACCGAGTCCCAGCTCCATAAATGTTGGCGACAACCCAGCAAATTTTCCTCATCATTTGGCAACTTGTGGAGAGAGTCCTCCCCTCAATGCTGGCAGCTAGTTTTTATCCAACAGAGTGTTATGACTCAATGTCCCCACTTTGAAACTACCCCCAAGGAGTCAAGTTTGGTGGTATGCCAGAGTTTGAGACCAGTCTTGATTATATAGTGAAATGCCATCAATACAGAAAGGAAGAAAAGGAGGAAGGGAGGGAAAAAGAGAGGGAAGAAGGGAGGGGGAAAAAGGGAGGGATGGAGGAAGTGAGGGAGAGAGGGAGGGAGAGTTATTAATCTCCAGTAAGAAACAAATCATTTTCAAATGCACATAGTTGTGTTCATCATATTTTTTAAATTAAACCCAAATTAAGGCATCAACTTGTCCTTGTATTTTCCTCTTCCTTGGAAAGGCTCTATAAAATTCCTGCCTATCAAATCTACATTGCAAGGGAGCTGAGTGGGTGTTCTGACTCCCACCAGGTTTACTCTGCAGAAAGTGCTCTGCCTGGACTGCATTATCTTAGAGGCCAGGAGTCCTGCCTGTATGTGCGCGAGCTCAGAGACTCCAAGCATCTCTCTTTCAAGACATCCTTCAAAGTGGTGGAGCAAATGGTAGCTTCTCCTTCATTAGAAAAATGTCCTCCTCTAATACTGTTTTGTCAAATCATCACCCAGCTAAAGGCTCCCTGCCCAGTCATAGAGCCCTATTGCTTTACTCTGGCAGTGGCTCAGGGCTGGATCCTATGTTTTGGAAGGCTACTGCTTCGTGAACACCCAGACCTGAATGATACATAGCAGCAAAGGCACCCAGTCATGGCAAGAACCCAGGGCTAACAGACTATCACGTGGGTGGCCAAGCTAGAGTCAGAACTCCAACCCTGTTCCTTTTCGCTTCAGCGGGCAATCTAGCGCAACTGTTTAACCTTCGCTTGCCAAGGTTTTCTTGCAGGCCTGGCAAGGGCCACAGTGCCTAGTCCTGGGGTGCTATGATGAACAAGAGAGTTAACCTACTTAGTACTAGGAATAATGCCCAATGACAGCAAGGACATGCTTAACAACATTCAGCCTTTTAACTAAGAGCGTTTGAAACTCTCCAACATGTCCGAGTTTGAATCGGCTCTTGGAATTAGAAAACTTAAAAGCCTGAAACTCAAACCACAGAGCAAGAACAGAACGCGGACAGGGCGCGGCTCAGTGTAGTTTTTTCTCCAATCAGAGTCTTCAAGGCTGAAGCCACGTACGTGACTTCGTCCAATCTGGTCCCTAGGAGGGCGGGAACGCCAGCGCCTACCTGCACCTGTAGCTAGCTGGGTGGCCGCCACCCATCCCACCCTGACCCTCCCCGCCTCCGTGGTTCTCGCCTCTTCAGTCCTTTGACCAGCCACCAGCAGATGGACAGATGTCTCCGCGGCGCGTTCCTAGGGACGCTCAGGAAGAGTGAGTGCGCAGGAGTCAGCAGCGGAGGCCGGAGGTCCCGTCTCTCAGAGGACTGGGAACATCTCAAGCAGGGGATAGGGATGCGCCCCAGAATGTGAAACTCCCACCAGGAAAGGCTGTCTGGGCTCGCCCTGGGGCAGCGGATCTGACAGCCCCCGCGACCTAAGCAGACCGTGCTGCCAAGGCCGGGTGGTCCTGGCAGTGTGCGGGAGTCAAAGGTGTTGGGCCAGACCAGCAACAGCGATTCCTGCATCTCCCCGAGACCGCGCCAGCCTGCACCGCCCTAAGCTTCAGGCAACCCTGAGACATCCCTCGGTTCTCTCCAGAGCCAGCGGTGATCCTGGAAGCCCCTGTAGGTGAGCGAACCAGGGTCCCTGTATGTCTGACTAGACTAGACCCTGCCGCTGCGACTCCCTGGAGAAATGTTCTATCACGCCTCTCCGTGACCCTCTTCCTGCTGCCAGAGGAGAGGTCCCCAGAACAGTGCTCTACCCACTTTTACATTATTTGTCATCTTTTTCTTGTGCAATTCTTACAAAGCCTTTCCGTGCACAACAAGTTGATCACTGAGGAGAATAAAGTGTCTGGTGGAGGACTGAGGTTTCGCGGTTGCCTTGAGTCAGAGGTTTCTTCTCCAGGAATGCAAGGTAGGAGAGAGCAGGGTGTTTGAAACCCCACTGCTGACGGTGTCTGAGGGTATGGACGCCTTTCCTAAGGAAAGAACTCAGGGCCGTTTCTGCTTTTACGATTGTTGAGTCCCAGCCGGAGAGTGTCCTCGGGGCATCCCGCCCTCCTAGGGACCAGAATGGTCACTGGGCTGTCTACCAAAGGCGCAGGGACTTCCTCTCTCCAGCAGTTCCGGGAGAACATGCAGCAACAAACGTGGCCCATGATTCCCTCTTTTGAGCACTCACGAACCCGGAGCTCGGCTGGCCGAGTGGGAAGCGAAGAACCTAGCTGAAACCCAGAAAGGGGCGGTGCTCGAGAGCCCTGCCCACTCTCGGTGGTCGCATCCAGTTGCAGGCACAGAGGAAGTGTGCCAGTATTCTGGCTTGCAGTATTAGGGGTTTGGGGCTCCGTTGCTCCGTTGCTCCGTTGTTCAATGTTTGGGGGAAGAAGAATGTTTTTCTGGAGTTCTGGTTGCGCTCTCTCCTTTGGAGGATGGAGTCGCGCAAGAGAATGTACCAGAAGTCTTTAGTTTACAGCTTGCTTGGGAGATAGAGAGCTAAGGGAACTGGGGCTAGGGCCCATGGTTTTCCTACACTCCCAGTATTAGCCTCTTGGGAGTAAAAGGAAGAGTGGGGTGGCGGTTTTCAAAGTAAGTTAAGTCTAGACAGCCTCTGAAAGTCACAAGGCAGAAGTGGTTTGAAGCATTTGGTGTAAGTACAATGTCAGGCTTTCTCGCTTGGAAACACTCAACATCCTAGGGAATGGTCTTAGAGAAACGTGGGTCTGTTTGCCTGATCTTCAATGCTCACCTGTAGTTGGCAAGGTGCCCCCCACCCCCGCACGCCCCGTTGCTCCTCTGAAGAAAGGCGGTTGGTTCAAGAGCTGGTGGACACCTATAGTGGTCCTACAGTCAGATGGAGTGGCAGCTGAGCCAAAAATCCCTTTGGAGCCAGGCTGATCAAGATGGTCAGACCTCCACTGGTGGCTACTGCACTTACTGGGGAGTTTGGACAAAGGTTGAGGCCAGGAGTTCAAGGTAATCAATCTTGTAGATCAGCCTGTGTCCTGCTGCAGGCCTCTGGGTCCACCGCGCCTCCTGCGGGCCCTATGGCTGGAGCCCCAACTCAGAGGGAAGGAGAGTGGGGAGCCTGCTACTCTGATCAACCAAATTTTGTTCTCTTCCTTGTGCAGGGCACTCCCTTGATTCCTGCCAGCGCTGACGCCTGGAAAGGCTGGAGTGAAGAGTCTGAGACCACGGAGAGAGGGAGGACGTCCTGACTGGGGCCCCTACCCACACGGGGCGACCGGGGTCCCCAGGCCTGCGGGCCATGGCGAACAGTGGCGGCTCCACCAGCAGCTCTGGCCCCTGGTGGAAATCGCTAACCAGAAAAAAAAGCAAGGAAGTCACGGTGGGGGCGCAGTCTCATGTTCAGCCAGAGGCCGAGGGTCATGCACCGCCTTACTTGGATCGGACTAGCAGCCCTAGAGAGATCCAGCACTCCGACGTCCTTGGGGACACCAGAGAGCCCCCCAAGTCAGATAAATTGTGTGAGGAGAAACCGTGCAACAGCCGCCGCAATTTGAAGATCTCACGCTCAGGCCGATTTAAGGAGAAGAGGAAAGTGCGTGCCACGCTGCTTCCAGAAGGAGACAGGTCCCCTGAGGATGCCAACTTTCCAGAGGACCCCCAGGAGCACAAGTAACAGCCTGAGCAAGCTTCCATGACTGTCTCTCTAATACCCGGGCCCTGGTACTTGATGTCTCACCAAGTTCAGAACATTCAGGGGGCCAAGGCCTTCACGATTTTTTTTTCTAGAAAGTGGTATCAGCTGAGTCTTCAGTATTCCTTGACGCAAAAGACAAGTAAGTATTTGTGGGAAGGATAGATCTCTGCTTCTGAGGAAGTTGGCTTTTTAAAACGTCATTCTGAGGCATCACAATGGAAAGGCACTAAGTATGTAACCATCTCTCTGACTTCCCAAATGAAGCCGCGCTCTTACCTAGGACTCTGGAGAGCAAATTATAGTACTGTTTTTAATGACTGAGAAATGCACTTTAGGGTACTACCCTAGTTTTATTCCTATGTGAAGGGATGGGAGAGGACACCCCCCCTCCACCGTTTAGAAGCATCCAGAAGATTGTTTTAAATGAGGACTGCAAAGCTGTATGCCTGTTTATTGTGCACTATTAAAATTGTTGAAATGTAAGACTTAAGGTGACTTTGTATTTTTTTTTTTTCCTATTCTAACTGTGAAACTCATCATACTTAAAAACAGGCATGCAAAGTCCTTAAGTGACAAGGTTAATTATTGGCCACACAGCTACTGCTGGAAAGCTGCTGGGCAAAGAACTTTTCTAGAAACCAGCAATACCCAGCTGGAACCAGCTTGCCAGGTATTTCCATTTGCCAAGCAAATTGAATGGAAGGGAAGTACCAATCCATGCTACCTAAATTCTCCTGTTCCTTCGATGTATTTCCAGAGTAACTCACAAAGCTAGTAGTGCATCCTTTTCAGTATCCATTGTGACTCTCACAAGAATTGTCCAAACACATTTTAATGCATGGACTGAGCTCATTCAGTTTGTGCAAAGCTGCCTTTCCCACCTGTTGTTTGAAAATCCATGTCCTTCTGTCTGAGTCTACATTTTTCTAGCTTCAAAGCCTTTCATCTGTCAAGCCGAAGATTCTTAACAGCAACAACAACAACAAAACCTACCTGTTTGCTTTTATTATGAACTTCAAGCAAAGCAGGAAATGAATACCACCTGCTTTCAGCAAATTGCAAGAGTATTGTTCCCTAGAGAGAGGCACCCTAGCTCTTCCCAGCACTAGCTGCCTTATTTACAAACGAATGTGGAGATGTCACCCTCACCCAAATGTGCTTCCTTTTAGTCAATAACAAGGAAGCAGGCAGAGAAGCTCCATTTGTTATATATGAAGGCTGGGATTTATTGTTGTTGTGGTGGTGGTGGTTATCAAATTACTTATTTATGAAACAGTAAAAACCATTGGCTGGCTAAAGAAATCTCACAGAGATATGTGGCGAGGATGGCTAAAGTGCACTGAAATTAATGACAAGATTGGGTTCCACTGTACATAATGGAGTTAATGGCCTGCTACCTCAGTTTCTACATACCTAAGACCTTACTCATAAGGAAATTGCTAGCGATTATTTACCGGTGATCACAGGTATCTTACATTAGAATGGAAAAAATGCATTTTCCTCCTTTATTATTGTCTTATATTCTTTGTAAGCATGACAAAACTTTCAAAGTGCATTTAGAATCAGAAAGTGTCTGGGAGGGGAGGGAGGTAGGCTTCTGGGATAAGGAAGACTTCCCACAGGTTTAAGTGGACTTCCTATGTCTATTCAAATGAAGGAGAGTTGAGAAATCAGAATGGATGAAAGGCTGTAGGTAATGGGGGCATGCGGGCTGGAGTGAGCAGAGCAGATATTGAGGAATAAAGTTATGGAGAAACTTCCTGAGACATTTCGATGTCAGTTTGTAGGGAATAATAAAAGCTAGAAGAGGCACCTAGGCAAAATGTCTTCTGCCCTCAGGAAGACAATAAGTCAGGGCTGTTCTCATCTAGAAAATTAGGCCTGCACTTGAATAATGCAAAAACCTTATACTTGCACTTTCATCAACTATTTTATTGCTTTCAGAACTATCTTTCAGGACTAGAGAGATGGTTAAGAGTACACTGGCTGCTCTTCCAGAGCACCTGAATTCAAATCCCTGTACCCACATGTTAACTCAACCATGTATAACTGTAGTCCAATGAGATCTGATGTCCTCTTCTGGGGTACAGATCTGCATTCAGACAAAACACCTATATATGTAAATAAATAACCCTTTAAAAAAAAAAAAAAAAGAACTGTCCTCTTCCTTCTTCAAAATTCCTCTAAATCCACAAAAGCACTGGCATTTTCCCAGCTTCCGTGTGTGGTGTGTGGTGTTGGATTTCATCCAACTCTGTAATTGCATGGATATCCAATAGCAGGCCCAGAGCAGTAGGATTTAGGGACGTGACATCCTTACCCCACTATTCTGAAAAGAAATCGTGCTCTAGGCAGTTGTGTCAGTTAGTGCAATTCACAGTTCACCACTGAGGTCTGCGATTACATCATTTTCGAGAGCTCCTGAATTATGCATCAGGAAGAACATTCTGATTTAATCCCAAATCAGGGAAATCTGAAACCACACAAAATTGGTAGAATAATAAGGTCATGAGTAAGCTAAGATAATCTGACAAAGTGTCTTTCTGGGATTTGTACACTTTGCAGGTAATTAACTACATTCCCAGAATCAGTACAGACTTGCAACACTTCTTAAACCTTGCAATCGTACAGTAGACAATGGGGAAAAATGCTACAGAATGAGCCTGGAGTTTATTAAGTTACAAGTTTTGGTTTGCTTTAAATGTCTTTATAAGTGAAATTTTACTCCCAAATTTGGAAGCCAGTGAAGGCTATTTGCTACTGTGCCTTCCAAGTGATTTGAAGGAGACACCCACGTCTGATGGTGAGTTCACTAAACAGTAGTGTAACCATGACGATTACACATGGATAATTTTGCCCGGATGAGTCTTTGCAAAGTTGGTGGCTGAGCAGTGACTAGTATTTCAGGTCCCCTGGCTGTTCCTTTGTGTTTGTCCTTCTGTTGCTCACCCAACTCTGGCTTCCACTTCAAAAGCCCTGGCTGGGACTCGGTTCTGCTTATACTGGATCGGAATTTGGGCAGGTTTTTCTTTCTTTAAAGATTTTGTTCTGAGACACTATGTGAGGTTAACACCTCTGGTCCTGCCCAGTCTTTAGAAGAAAGATTCGAAACTGGCAGTGAGTGGGAACATCCGCCAAAGCCTCATCAGAAATAGTTTCTTGACACACACAGAAGAACATATTGGTGCTTTAAAACAAATCAATCAAACAATGAGCAGAAAGAATGTCAAGTATAAGATGAACAACAAAAAAAATTAAGTGAAGGGGCATGAATATCCAGGGGACCAGAGTTCTTTAATAATAAAGAAAAGACTATCCTTTTTCCTAAGATGTGAAAAGCCAGCACAAAAAAAGCAGATACACTAATCTGATTTTCAAAAATTTTTACAAAGTTTTTTGTTATTAAAAAAAAGTTTGAGTTTGAGGTTAGCCTGGTCTATGAAGCAAGTTCCAGAATAGCCAGAACGGTTACACAGAGAAAGCCCATCTTTTTTGAAAAGCCAGGGGAAAAAAAGGTCTTGGGAAAAAGTACAATACACTGAACACATGGACCCAGATCTATACACTCAATGACCTTTCATACAGTTAGAATAGGCCTTCAGAATAGAAGCTGATTTTTAAGTCTTTTCATGAAATACTTTATAAGAACTATATTAAATTTTAAAAGTTTTGTGGGGACAAATTTATCTCAATAGCAAATAGAAAGTGGGACCATTTGGATGTTCACTTACAAGCTCACTTTTCTAAGGAACGAATGTGGGACTCATTCTGAACATGTTGACAAGTCCGCTGTCTTGGGGCAACACTGTCCTTGTCCCCTCATCTCAGCTCCGCTGCCTGGCTCCACAGTCATCTTTCTTTTGATGATCCCCATGAGGTTTAGCAGTGTGTAAAAGGGGACTGCAAGAGGTCCTGGAGAGGTTCACCGAGCACTGAAGATTCCGAGCTCAGAGGGTGCAGCACACGCAGTCACAGATCATCTCTGAGAGATGAATGTGAGGAAAGTATACATGTCTGACCTTAGCAGAGACAGCTGGGCATTTGTATCTGAAGACTAAGAACTGGGGGCCATAGTAAATGACACTGGAGGCCAAAGACAAGCAATCCTTATGGGTATGCCAAGGAAGGGATTTAACTAAATTGGGCTGCAGGTAAAATAGTGGGCTCATAATCATCACGCCAGAGTTTTTTGGCCTAACCCCATGAAATAATATGATCCCAGGAAGGTGTATCTTTATCTCTGGGGTGTGGAACATGAATGTTGATCCTTAAGTTAAAAATTTTCTGGCTCCAAAGTGCTAAGTTTCACTTTGAGGAAGGCAAAAATGAAAATCTCCAGCCCTGACTGACTGGGTAAGGGATTAGGCACCGATCTTTTCGCTCTTTTTCAAAGGGATTTAACCTTGTTTTACAAACACACTGGATTAAAAGCTTCTCCCAGTAGCCAATGAGTAAGTGTAACCGTTGGCTCACACCCTCCTCCAGAGAATGGCTAGTGGAAGCCCTTTGTGCTTTCCAGGACACCTGCCTTAGTGCCTTCTCTGACTTGCTCTTCTACAGGCCTTAGGTAAACGAGGCATTTATTTATTTACTCTGCCATAAAATGAGGGGGTGGGGTTTATATTCCAGCTTTAAAACTCTTTCTTGTGCTGCTATTTGAAGCAAATGGTAGTAAAATTATATCATGTTCAGTGTTTGCCTTAAAATGGAAGGAACTAGGTACCTGGTGGTCAGGCACTACCACCACCTTGCTGTCTTTTGGCCCAGAATTTGACTGTACTCCTGCTACCTAGGAGCATTGAGGGTCTTTATTTGTGGTGAAAATGTGATTGCAGGTGTTGTAACTAATTAGCATTGAAAGGTGTGCTTTGGGGACAGGGGACCCAGCTCTTATTCTGTTGGGAAATGGTTACACGTGCAGACTCATGTAAAAAGCTAAGCATGGTGGTTTGTGCTTTAGAGAGTTAGGACCAGTCAGATCCCTGTGGTTTGCTGGCCAGCCCTCTTAGCCTGATTGGCATGCTCCTGGCCAATGAGAATCACTACCTTAAAAACAAGGTGATGGCTCCTGAAGGATGGCATTGAGGTTGACCTCTGGCCTCCACACACATACGCACATGCACACATGCATGCATGCACTATGATTTAGGGCTGAGGGTAGAGGATGCAAGGCTGTGAGTTCAACCATCCCTAGCTTTGTAAAGAAAACCAGTGTGTTTTCAGATCTATAATTTCATCTGTTTCTCATAACTAGCTCCCAATTGTGCAAAATGTTATTAATAAATGGGATGGCCTGTCTATTTAAAAGGTTTTCCATAGACTGTGTGATGCTGTTCTAAGTCAGGAATGCTGTCTAGGTCACATGTGTGTGATGCTGTTCTAAGTCAGGAATGCTGTCTAGGTCACATGTGCACATACACATTCATGCACACACATACACATGTATGCACACATGCACAGGAATGTGAACATAGTCATTTCTC